GGTGACTTGTGATTTCACCGAAATCCATGCCAATTCCCCATTATCCGATACGTAATCAATAATTCTGACTTTTTAAGTTAGAAGGTCCGATCTTTGAGGTCGACGCGGAGGAAAGGAAGCGAAAAATGGTAGAAATCAACAGAACGACACTAGTGTTGTTAAACGACACTTGTGTCGTTCTGTTAATAAATACGAGTTTGAGCAGCCACGAGCCTTCCAGGCCCTTGCATTTGACAAGTTGAACTCATTTGAGTCGCTAGGTAGACATGTCGATCACATAATTTGAGAGATACCCTCATTACTTTGGTTTTCTAACGAATGTAGATGGTGACTTGTGATTTCACCGAATTCTATGCTAATTCCCCATTATCCGATACGTAATCAATAATTCTGACTTTCTTAAGTTAGGAGGTCCGATCTTTGTGGTCGACGCGGAGGAAAGGAATCGAAAAATGGTAAAAATCAACAGAACGACACAAGTGTTGTTAAGCGACACTTGTGTCGTTCTGTTAATAAACACGAGTTTGAGCAGCCACGAGCATTCCAGGCCCTTGTATTCGACAAGTTGAACTCATTTGAGTTGCTAGGTAGACATGTCGATCACATAATTTGAGAGATACCCTCAATACTTTGGTTTGCTAACGAATGTAGATGGTAACTTGTGATTTCACTGAAATCCATGCCAATTCCCCATTATCCGATACGTAATCAATAATTCTGACTTTTTTTAAGTTAGGAGGTCCGATCTTTGAGGTCGACGCAGAGGAAATGAAGTGAAAAATGGGATAAATCAACAGAACGACACAAGTGCTGTTAAACGGCACTTGTGTCGTTCTGTCAATAAACACGAGTTTGAGCTGTCACGAGCCTTCTGGGCCCTTGTATTCGAGAAGTTGAACTCATTTGAGTCGCGAGATGGACATGTCGATCACATAATTTGAGAGATACCCTCATTAATTTGATTTTCTAACGAATGTAGATGATGACTTGTGATTTCACCGAAATCCATGCCAATTCCCCATTATCCGATACGTAATCAATAATTCTGACTTTCTTAAGTTAGGAGGTCCGATCTTTGAGGTCGACGCAGAGGAAAGGAATCGAAAAATGGTAGAAATCAACAGAACGACACAAGTGTTGTTAAACGACACTTGTATCGTTCTGTTAATAAACACGAGTTTGAGCAGCCACGAGCATTCCAGGCCCTTGTATTCGACAAGTTGAACTATTTGAGTCGCTAGGTAAACATGTCGATCACATAATTTGAGAGATACCCTCAATACTTTGGTTTGCTAACGAATGTGGATGGTAACTAGTGATTTCACCGAAATCCATGCCAATTCCCCATTATCCGATACGTAATCAATAATTCTGACTTTTTTTAAGTTAGGAGGTCCGATCTTTGAGGTCGACGCAGAGGAAATGAAGTGAAGAATGAGATAAATCAATAGAACGACACAAGTACTGTTAAACGGCACTTGTGTCATTTTGTCAATAAACACGAGTTTGAGCTGTCACGAGCCTTCCGGGCCCCTGTATTCGAGAAGTTGAACTCATTTAAGTCGCGAGATGGACATGTAGCTCACATAATTTGGGAGATACCCTCATTACTTTGGTTTTATAACGAATGTGGATAGTGATTTGTGATTTCAGTGAAATCCATGCCAATTCCTCCGTTATCCGTCACGTAATTAATAATTCTGACTTTCTTAAGTTAGGAGGTCCAATCTTTGAAATCGACAAGGAGGAAATGAAGCGAAAAATGGGAGAAATCAACAGAATGACACAAGTGCTGTTAAACGGCACTTGTGTCGTTCTGTTAATANTACATGATGTTTTAATTAATAGAAGATTTAAAATAAAAATGCGAGGAAAAAAAAATGAAGTCCTAAGTTGAGACCCTCATTATAATCAAAATGTGGTGCACTTAACAAAAAAAACGTAATGAATATAATTACCATATCTTAAAAAAGGCTCTGGGAAAGCCATAGCCTAGGGAAGCAAACATTATGTTACCTGCTCGAAAAATTTACCAAGTAATTAGCCTGTATTCAAGCTTCTATTAAGAATGAAGGTGAATATTAACATATATATATAGAGAGAGACTCATCATCCTCAACCTGCCTTAAATCAAAATATTTCATTTCTAAATAAACAAAAAACCAATTTTCATTAAAAAATGCAAGAGTACATCGAAAAATGTTTTGAAGTGATCGTCATCGATCGAAACTTTATGGGTGACCATAGGAGTGAAGAAAGTTATTGGAGAATGAGGGGCTATTTGGTGGATGAAGGTAAATGAGGGTGAGGAAACAATGTTTTAGTGACCTAATTAATCACAAGTAATGTTATTTGTACATTATTGTGTACATAATTGTTTACATATGTAATATGAAAGAGAGAGAAAGATTATAATAAATCTCTTTTTATCTCTTTCCATTACTATTTTTGAATAATGTTATTTATTGTCGTTCACTGCGTCATTGTCCTATATGACATTCTGTATGATGGTTTGTGATTTGATCTATTAATGTGATAATTTTTCTTGCTTTATATATTAAATCACTAATCGTGACACATATATCACGTAGAACGATTATGATAATGAGTGTCTGTAAATCACATTATTATTTTTTATATCATTTATGATTTATCTGTACATCATTATCACTGTTCAATCACACTAGTACTAATATCATCTTGTTACTTTTGTTGACCATGTCATTTTCCCTCCCACGAAATCAATCCCTTCGGCCTCCTCTCCAGCCATCCTGCGCCCCCTCGTACCAGCTCTCCCCGCCCCTGTCCACGCCATCATCCGCCGATAGGGTTTCGCTTTCCAGTTTTCCCCTTACGCACCTCCAATTTCCTCCAGACCCCTCCGATCTAAACCAACTTTTCAATTCCCTCCTTTCCCGTCCGGATCATCACTGATCTCTTCGAACCCAATGGCATTTCTTGGCTTCTAGAGCTCGTCGCTCACCCCACTATTTTCCTTTTCGTTTTCATCAGTCTCTTACAATTCGTCATTATGGCTATCAAATTAACCGTCACCTACTCCGGCTACATCGCCCAGAGTATAGCTTACCCCGCCACATCCAAATACTCCGCCTCACGCTTCTTTCACGACGCTACCCGTTTCCGCCTCTTCCACCACCCTCCGAGTCGAAAACCCGACTCCAATTACTCCGATTTCCTCTTCCCTAATTCCAAGTCAAAGCCCATAAGTACTGCCCCATCTTTCTCTTCGACATCGACGTTGGCCCGGGAAATCGTGGGTGAAAGTACGAAATCGCCACTTGCTATGGGATTAATCTCTTTAATGAAGCAGTCAACGGGTGTGCCCAACGTGGGTGTTTTTGGGATTTCACCATTCAAGACCTCGTCGATCATTCAGTTTCTTCAGGGTTCAAAGTGGCTGCCGTGCAACGAGCTTGCGAGTACGGAGGTCGATAGAGGTGGGACTCAGTGTAATAGCACTGGCACCGAAGGCGTGATTGAAAACAGTAGTTCTGATAAGTGTTCAGAGGCTTTTGTAATGGCCAAGAGTGGTAGTAGTAATTTGAAGGTTTTCCTGCCGAATGGCAGGAGCAGACACAGTTGGCTTTCGAAGTTGATGAATCTCTGCTTCTGCTCCGAGGATGCCAAGGCGGCTTTCACTGCATTCAGTGTTAGCGTATTGTTCAAATCGTCATTGGCTGAGCCGAAGTATATTCCATCGACTTCTATGTACCCAACTCTTAATGTGGGCGATCGCATTCTCGCTGAGAAGGTATTGAGATACTTGCCTCAGCTGAAATTTAATTGTGATAGCTATAAGTAGATAATTTTTATGGAGGAATTTAACTGTGTATAAATGAAGTATTCGTAAAACAATTTCTATCGCCAGATTTGGATTGTGGATCAGATTAAGGAAGTAGTTTTGATCAAGATCTTGTGCCTAGAAAACATAATCAGTTTTCGGTCATTAGCGTGAGAATTTCGACTTGTGAACACCATCTATTCAATTTACCTGTTTAAGGGCTTAAAGTAATATTTTGGCTTATTGCTTTTAGTCGCCATTGTGAACATGTGATCAAAACAATAATATGGAACACGTCATTATTACTTCTTATGGATTGCTTGCTTGCGTTCCTTGTTTTTATTCTTTCATCTGGTTCAAGTTTGACATGCTCTAGGAGTTGTTGCAAGAATAAGCTTGATGGTAGGCTTTGGAAAGCTCGACAGTTTAATGTGTTACTACCAAGCTGACCATTTTGATGTTTTTGTGGTTTTCAGGTTTCTTACATTTTCAAGAATCCCGAAGTCTCCGACATTGTTATTTTTAAGGTGCCCCCCATTCTTCAGGTATGTCCTGAACTCGTCAACTGCATCATTTCGAGAACAGATAGTGTTATTCGTGTCACCCTGAGCCAACATACCAATCTTTCAATTTGATGCTCTCTGCAGGATATTGGTTATAGTTCGAGTGACATTTTCATCAAAAGAATTGTAGCCAAAGCTGGGGACTATGTAGCAGTAAGTGCGCATGTTTGGGAAGTGATTTTGTAAATAGATAAAAAAGAGTGGTGGATAACTAAGTATACTAGTGGGTTTCAAGAAATTTTGGGATAAAAAGTAGGTTTGACTGATTATGTTTATAAATTAAATAGGTGCCAAACAATCACCAAGTTTATTGTTCGAAAGTTTGAATGTCGATTCTCTTGTCTGATCATCTCTAACAAGTAGTCCAATTTGATAACTTGTGCAGGTTCATGGTGGTAAATTGTTGGTGAATGATATTGTTCAAAATGAGGATTTCATCTTGGAACCACTTGCTTATGAAATGGATCCAGTGGTAATAGCCCTTGCTTGTTTTCCATTCTGCTTTCTTGATGATACCATGTCACATATCTATACAATTTATATGCATTGATTTGAAAATTGTTGCTCTTTGTTTTTGTTTACTATAGCTTGTACCTGAAGGCTATGTGTTCGTGATGGGAGATAACCGGAATAACAGTTTCGACTCTCATAACTGGTAATTAGTTACTATATTTGTTAACATCTGAAGAAATACCACTGAAATCTTAAATAACTTTTACTCCATCGCATTTCATTGGTTCCTTCTTCCATATATGGGTTGTTATCGTTCTACCTCCTATCTGCTGTAAGAAGTCTTTTAGAATGGAAAAACAAAAACAGAGAAGCTATTAAGGATAACGAGAACACAAAGCAATTATAACTAGTGATTAGATTGTTATAATGCCATGTTTAATTTCGTATGTCGTGACATTATGATTGTTTTCTTCTTTCTCAGGGGTCCATTGCCCATCAAAAACATCGTTGGTAGGTCAGTATTTCGATACTGGCCCCCTTCGAGAGTATCCGACACTCTCTACAAGTCGTCCATGCGGTGACACCGCGTCTCCCTCTTTTCTGTGGAAAAGGTTCTGGATGCTTTCAGGATTCATTTTCTCTGTCCCTCGGTGCTTATTCAAGCTCTTTTCCTTGGCTAAAGTGTCCAAGGATGGATCATCTCATCCATCCCTGTAAGGATTATTGCCAATGGCCTAATCTTGGTCTGGCTTTTGAAAATCTGTGTAATTCTACATTGATGCACAAACTGAATAGCTCGCTGAAGGAATCCATCTCGAATAATTCAGGACATATTGGGTTCGGATTGGACTCGATGACTGACCAAATATTTCTTTTAACTTTTACTCAAGTTTGTTCAGTTAAACGTATGTTATTATTGTATTTAGGATAATTGGAAATGCATATAGCTCTGTTTTACTAATGAATTAAAATTCAAATCCTTCTCTCTTATTCGAAATTCCTTTTGTTATATTTACTTTTAGAGAGACATAAAGATATATGTGACTGAACATTTAATAAATTAATTTATTTATAGCTTTAGCTATCACAAGCTTGATGAAAAGGATAAAATTGTTTTGAGAACACTTTAAACTTGATTGTCGAATTTTCGTTGATTAATTTTTATTTCTTGACTTAGTATCTTAGTGCCTTCTTGGTAATGATAATGGAAGTTGATTTTTTGTCTATTAGAGAGAAAAAAGAGTTTCATTTATGACTGAAGAAGTCAAAAATGACGTTTGGAATAGTGAAATAATGGTAAAAAAAATGATTTTTTGTGGTAAAAAATTGCCACTTGGGGCTTATCTTGTTGAAATCACCATGTTCCCAACCAAAAGCATCACCACTAGCAAAGGTAAATGAGGATTAAAAACTCTACATTTGCTTTTTGGATTAATAATAACTCAGTTTTTGTTTGTTATAATGTTTTGCTTTCTTGACAGATGCTTATATACGATCAGTAAAATATTGAATATTTATATGAAACCTGTGGGACAAAGGAAATATGAGGAAAGTGGTCAAACCATTGATCTTAGACAGAAAAACAAGATGAATGTCAATTTGAGTTGTTCAGCTGTTGCGTGTTAAATTGTTCAATTATGACTAAATACTTGATTATGATTGGTGAATTTCATTCCTCATGTATTAAGAGTTTGAAACTATACTAGATTGATAAGCCATGAAAAGTTGAACTTACTGTGACAATTAATTTTCATAAATAAAAGCGAGAATATGCGATGAATTTTTACGCCATTTCATCAAAATTAAGTTCGGAAAATAGAAAATTATAAAATGTTATGGATATATCACGATAAAAAAATAAAAATAAAATCTTGTTATTCAAATTTAAGTTGGTTCGTAAGAATGATAAGACGCAAGATTATTGTTTTCGATTATTTTCTGGGGTTTGCTCTAAAATGATAATATGTGACACTGTTTGTTAATTTCATTGATTGTTGTTGAATGCATAATTTAAATATAGAAACTTGTTTTCTGGAGAGTTTTTATTTTAATATTTATCATTTTATCCGCATAATTCAAAATGGATTTTTTTTTTCACGGACAGGGCATCCCAGCCCCGCCAACCGGTTTGGGACGGGTTTTTTTTTCCTCCATTTGGGGCGGGGCCTCTTAAACTTTAATAAGAGTCCTAAAGATGGAAATAACATAAAAAACACATGAATATAGAAAATAGTCTTGGGTTGGACAAAGGCGACGCTTGAGCGCCAGCCTTACGATAAAAAATGCGTGAATAAAAGGAGTCGATTTTTGAATATATCAGTACTGAGTCCATTGCACCACAAGTAGTTGTCTCGAATCATTGCATTCATTATTTGAAATTGGGGAGGGATAACGTGGAATGAGTTGACACTCAGTAAGCAAACATCATGCATATGATGTATGTTTATGATATGCACATGAATTACTTTAAAATAAAATCATTCCCCAATATGTATCCCCTTTCATTCATTTTTTAAAAAATTTAACATTGACGTCGTGAGCTTACTTGATGTATCGTCTAGCCAGTTAGAATGTAGTGGACAAATATTATTTAGAACCCGATCGAGTCCTACTAGTAGTACCGCAAGGCAGTTAACATTATCATTGAACATTGAATATTGGTCGGGTGCGCCGGTCCCCCATGCCTCATTTTCTACTCATATCTTTCATGGCATAAACACACTTCGTAACAAAACTTCGGGATATATATCTTTGAAAATATTTCTTGACTCATTGACATTTGGAAACTTTTATTTTTCTTGAAACTTCTTGTATGCTTATGGATGCATTGATGTGTATGAATATGTCATGAGAAGCATTAATGACATAAAATGTAATAATTAAATATCAAGATCACTTAATCACAAATTAAATAACACATTTATACATTTAAAAATGTAATGTGCAATAAAGACAATGTGAGGTTCACTTACATTGAATCCTAGCAATATACTTTTTGAATGACAGGGGAAGATGTTCCTAACTATCCACGAAGTGAACATGCCAAAATCCTAGTTCATTACTATTTATTTAGAAACTTTGATAAACCTCACTTTTCAATATGAACTCATAACCTTACTCGATTAAATTAATTAATTTATTGTTGTTGTTGGAAAGCCCTATTTGTAAATAAAAGTTTTAAGATTAAAATGATAATTAAATCATCAATCCAACTAGATACTAATTTGTTCAATGATCATTAAAATAGAAATCCAAATTATTGTCTAATTCTAGGAAATTGTATCTATACACAACATAGGCATGCATATAGACAGACCTTTTTGGACTTGTACATACAGACAATTAATACACACACACACATATACATACAAATTCAGCACATATAGCACACATATACATACACATACACATCTGTATATATGTATATGCCTGTTTGTACTAAAATCTGAAAAGGCCACATAGTTCAATTTTTCCACCAACAGTCAATATAGAATTAAACACATGTTAACCAATAGATTATATCATGAATAAATTATGAACCATACCTTATTGCAAGAGCATACTCGTGTCCTAAATGGAGAAATTGAAATTAAACTTTCGGCAGGGAAAAGTGTTTCTACTTAATTTTAAAAAGATGTGAAATAAGGCAACTATATATACTCCTAAACCTAATGGCGTTTATTTAGTTTAATTTGTACCAATCTAACAAATTAGGCCTCCTTATTTATCTATATTAACTTATTTCAACCTTAAATTGATCCTATTAGAAAATTAATATGATGTATGGACTAGCTAGTCTCATCACGACCCATTTGATGATTCAGCTTGAGAAGGATCATAACATTTCCCATCTGCAATCAATCCTGTTCATTCGCTAGCGAAACTATTGAGGAATTCTGCTTTTTATCACTTTACATAAAGGTCTCCAGAGATTCCTCCAAACTGCATAAAATATCCAAACGTATCAGAATCAAATAATCTTTCCTCAAAACCTTGATGGAACTAATGCCCATACATTAATTTTTCAAGGGAGAGGAAGAATTTTCCTTCATCAGATCACAAAATAATGTAGGACAGAAATGATAAGTCTTATATATTCTTAGTCATCTTACATAAAATCGTTTTACATTACTGTTGACACATTAAAAGTGCAGCCCAAATCGAATAGCCCAAGAAATGAAGCGCAATTGAGGAATTCCCAAATCAAATAGCCCAAAGAATGAAACCTAATTAGGCAACTCAAGATAAATGCCCAGACAGAGTTATTAATGAATGCAGTGGAAGCCCACGAATACAGTAACATCATCGCCCAAGCTTGCAAGACGCCCAAGATCTGAGCAAATGGAGTGCCTTACATTCGCCCAGAGCGATGACCCTATTCTCGCCCATACCTTCGAATCGCCTAGGATCTTAGCAAACATAAAATGTTATGGTTATCCACAAATACAGTTATTGAAGCAGTTATTGAGTAACCTTATCACATTCCACGATTCAAGGAACCCAGTTGAAGACGGTTGAACGACAAAGAGTAGTGGCAGCAGTTAGAGACGGCAGTTCCACGACAAGTTAGCCACCATAAAGAAAGTGGGTAGTTATAAAGCAATCAAGCAGTTTCCAAGCGGTTTGTCACAAAGAAATCATCAAGGGAATATAAAAGGAAGAGAAGACATAGAGAAAAAGAGACCCGAATCAAACACTCTCAAACAGAGAATATGTAATTTCAATTTCTTAGTTTAAACTTAAACATTTCTTTCATTACTCGTGTACTTGCACTCCTTGAAGGCATTCTGTTTAGTTCCAATTGTAAATCATCGCTAATAAAACACCCCTTTTTGGGACTTTGTCTCAAGAGGTTGGTTTCTTATACAATCGTCTGATCCCCTTTTTAATTGTTAGCGACCCGCGCAAAACAATTTAGTACGCCCAGTGGGACATTGGTGTTTGGTGTTGAAGATACAAAAGGTGAAACAATATGCCTCACAAATTTGATAAGGAAGCAACAAGTCAGGGAGGAGTTCAGTCTGTGATCAAGTGAGATGAGGCGCAGCATAGCTCTCCACGAATAGAGGGACAGAGTCAGAGTAGTCACAGTCATTACGAATTAATAACAGAGTTGAGTCCTCGAACCATGCGTGTATTACTTGGAGAACTCACACAGGATGTCATTGAACAGGTAAATCTACGAAATATTCATAATATGGAAAGATTTACCCAGAATGGGAATGCACATTATGACAACATGGCCAAAAAACTAAATACTTTGAATAAAA